ACTAACTGCTGATACCAACTGATGTAGGGAAGCGTATGAGTGGGAAAGATAAACGAGATACTCTCTCGATAAAACTTACAAAACTCAACAATATCTTATTTCATTCATAATCAACCAATGAAAATAAACTAGAGGAAGTCTTTTATATAAGGCTCCTAACCCTAGACCTTAACTTGTCCAACAAGACAAGAACTCTTATTAAATATTCAACAATAATATTAAATTACTAACTTACTCTCTAAGACACCTATTAAATCTATCATTATATAAAAAGAATAACCTTTTTACAAATTTAGAAACTTTTTCCCGCCAAAATCATTAAATATATCCTAATATAGTAATTGTTGGACAAATCTAAATAGGCAAAAAAATCGGCTCATTTTTTTTAATTTATCAAAACCGTTGTTTGACAATAAATATTTGTTTTTATTTTTCCTATTTTTAGTATAAATCTACACGCTTATCTCTTCTGTTACAAAATCCCATTGCATACGTCTCCCATGTTTAAAAAATTTCATCCCTTATCTTTACAGATTTAAAAAAATAAAATAAAATAGAAACCAATTCATAATTATTACTAAAAATCCATTATCTTTAAAAAGAAAAAATAAAATAAAATAGAAACCAATTCATAATTACTACTGAAAATCCAATATCTACTTTAAGAAGCTAATTTTTATCGGTCTAATTACTAATATTTTTACAAATATTATAAGCTAACCATACAAAAAAGTATAATAATAATTTTGAAATGGTGTGTAATCAAATTTTTTTATATTATTTTATACAAAATAATTTTACATTGTTCGACCCCGAATCTTTAATTTATAATTATTATGTATTGTTTATCTTCCTCTTTAATGTATAATTAATTTTTTTGCTTCCTTTTTTTAAATAGGATCAATAGTAGTTTCCACTTGGGTCATTGAGTGACTCAAACTCGAGGTCTATTTATAATATTGTTAATTTAGTATTGTTTCTGTGCATCGCACGGAGTATACACTAGTAATAATAATAATAATAATAATAATAATAATAATAATAATAATAATAGATACTACTCTACACCATAATTATCAGTATAATGGCTCCAATATGGATCCATGAAAGCGTCTTAGCCATATCTCTTTTAAAGCCCACTTTTAATTTTCCGATTCTTCTACAGGGAATTAATCGCATTTCTATTTGATTCTTTATATACTCCATTGGAATGAGAAACTCTCTCCTTGAAACCTCGATGAATAATATGGTGGTTTCATTTCTTATCCCCATTTATCCATTTCCTTTTCCATGGATCCAATAGTGAATCCACTATACAATTGGAGTTGGATCTTACATCATGATCTTCATAAGAGTTTTATGAGAGACTACCGTGACTGTGTGGGGAGGGTTCCCGACATATCTTCTCTCACAGCCTATTAGAACAATTCTCAATTATTTTGATTCTCAGTATAACTCAGTTCAATACTCATAATACATTTCCACATCAAAATACTTTTTTCAGAAGGTATATTCTCAAATTGATAAATTTTCACCAAATCTATACTTATATTAAAGGGGTACTATTTACCAAATTAAGTAACCAGAAAAGTCAACAGCATTTATTGCATTACTATTTCCGTATTATACTATATAAAAGGATATTCTATTTACTATATTTACTATCCAGAAAAGTCAACTGCATTAAATGTCATTACTATTTTGATATTATAATATTTTATTTATTTAATTGATTTATTAATTTATTTTATTTTAAAAAGGTAAGTATAATAAAAAGATTTTAATAATAAAAAAATCAAATACCAAATATAAATGTACACTTTGACTTATTTGATTATATTTGGTATTTGATTATACCAAATATATTCCTATTTAGTATATACATTAAATACTTACTAAAGTATTTATTTGTTTTATTTGTCAAAGTTAAGTATAGATTTGTTTATATTATCAAATCATAAAAAAATATTAAATTCATATTGTAAAAAAAAAATCATATAATTTTATACTAATTCTACTACACTATTTAACAATATTTCTTTTTTATTATATAATAAAATAATAATTAAGTAATATATGGTGAACAACAATAAGTAAAACTGTTACTTTCTCTTATATCAATGGATAAATTTATATGCTAAAATCAAATTTTTATTAGTATAAATGTTTTAGTGAGATAATATATTGATTATTTTACAAGCTAGCCCTAACATGCCTATATTTAATGTTTTAAAAGATGTAGAAAAAAAATTATAATAACTCTATTGTTTTTTAGACTTAACCGTTGATTAAAAGAGGTCAAAATTCCTAATTTTTTAGACTTAAACGTTGATTAACACCATAGATTGAAAGTTTATATTTAGTAAATTCCTAATTGTAATAAAAAAAAATTAATTTTTGCTATATTTTAGAATATCTTTAAATTCTTTATAAAAAAAAAGAAAAAAAAAACTACAATGAAAAAAGCAAGTCAGCTATATATCGATTTGTTGTACTCCTCAAATGACATTCACAATTTGGCTACAAGGAAAGGAAACTCATTGATTAAAATATTATTTGTCAGTAGTCTTAATGTACAAGAGACTTTAAGACTCCACTTGAATATTATAAAACTTTTATTGAACACTGTACAATTTCTTGCGTATTATAAACTTTTATTGAATATTGCATCTTATAATATAATATTCTTCAAATAAATATATCTCGTGCTTCGCACGGGTCACGTATGATATATATCCCGTACATTTTTCTTTATTCATGTATATAATTATAAGCCTGGATAAATAGCCTTAAAATTGTGCACCCCGTGCATCGCACGGGCTCTATAATAGTTTTAGTAGTAAAAAACATCTGTGAATTATTGTGTAGCTTCAAACTGTCTTATACTCCTTTGACTATCCGGGCAGTCTGTTGAAATGTGCCACTTTGGCTCCACAAGTCCAACAAATAAACCCCTTCTACTTGGGACTGGATTTATTTGAATTTATAACTTTGTGTCTTTTGTCTCAACCAAAATCTTCTAGGTCTCCATGAAGACCTATTTCTTTTATTTTCACGAGAATATGTTGAGCTTCTTTGGTTTTTTCTCTTGAACTTTTTGTGGTTGACCTCCAATAATAGTTGGAATTTTATTTTCATCACAATATAGAGGAATTACTTTATTCTTATAGTTTTTGCATAGTACAGACTTAAGACACTACTAAGACAATTCTTCTTTGGGAAAGATATTCTTCTGGCTTAATTATCAAACGTATCTTTATGATTCTTCCACTAATTCTTCAATTTTTGTCGGATCTTCTAGACTTTAGTTGCTAGTACCATTTGGTTTTCAATATAGCTTTGTACTTTCTTTTATAATGTGCAATTATCTGCGAAGTACTTAGAGAAGTCTGGAACAACTTTTTTGTAGCTCAATATATAATTATTACTCAGTCCTAACTAAGATTTTGATGTGTGCTTTCTTAATAATTTAATAAGTATGTTTATCATAGTTAGTTTTAACCATATGTAATCCATTTTATACTTATATTCTCTTCGACAAATTGCTAAAGTCATTTTGTTCACTCCTGACAACACTTGTTGAATATATCTTTATCCAAATGAGTAACTTAATATTGGTGTTCTTGTTCGTACACCTTCCAAATTTGATGATATCTATTATAGTGTAAACATTTTAGATAAATTTTAATATCCATACTTTTTATATTTCTCCTCACAAATAATTATTTACCATATAATAATTACAACTAAGAGTTTTTTACAAAACTTGGACTCTAGTACCATCTTAAGCACAAAAAATACACTTCATAGTAGGTACTAAGTTTTATGAAATCAGATACTGCATACAGGGTCGACCCTAGGGTGGGGCTAGTGGGGCTAACACCTAGGCCACCTACAATACCCAAGAGCTCTATTATTAATACTTGTATAAAATAATTGATTAAAAATTGAATTAATTAGTAATTAGATTTTTTTTTTCATATGACTGTTTCTTTTTTTTTTTCGTAACGATAGAAAATTTTATAGCACACAAATGTACAAGAATACAAACTGGGAGCTAACTAGTTAAATGCAACCAAGTACAAGAGAACCAGACACTACGGTGGCCTAGAACTAACTAAAAACTCAACAAAAACAACCGAATAAACAGATGTTAAGGCAGCAAGTCATGTTGGGGTCCTTAACACAGCAATGATCAACACAAACCTAAAAACAACAACAAACTAACTAATCAACTAAGCATCCTAACTCTGAATCAGAAAAAGGAGCCCACTGAAACCGAAACCGGACCTGGACTCCCTCCTTTTCAGCTCTCAAGGGGATCTTCTTAGCCGAGAAGCAAACTCCTACCAGTCAGTCACTACAGCCTTGACAATAACATGCATCGGCATCCATTCATTTTTTAAGATCCATAAGTTTCAGAATTTCCACAACCATCATAAAATTTAGGTGGTTAACTAAATGCGGGCCTCAAATATCTCCTTGTCATCAACAAAGTAGATAGTTACCCACCAAACTCTAAACTTGTTTGTATTCTCACAGCTGAAATCCCTAGAGATATGAGCCATTTTCAACACATGTAGTGCTCTGCTACACCTGAAAAGAGATGCTCAACAGACTCCACTTCTTCGCCACAGCTCTGACAAATGTTGTCAACTGCCATGCCTCTCCTCTTAGATTCCATTTAACTGGTAAGGTATTGGTATAGCTCTTCTAAATAAAATGTTTTAGCTTTTCCTTTATATTTAGCTTCCAGCTTCTTGATCTGACTTTCTTATTTCTGAGAACCTGGCTACTACTCTCTGCAATGTCCAGGTTTCAGAATTTGTCCTCTACAAACTTCGAGTAAACATTAGCAACCACAAACATATCTTTAGCATTGTTCTCCTAAAACCATCTATCAGATATGGTAGGGTTGATTGACTTGATTTGAAAGATAGCATTACAATCCTCATCACCAAATAGCTCCCTCACCAGAGTTTCATTCCACCTCCAACCACCTGCTTCCAAAAGCTCCCAGACAAATTGAGTACTTGTAATAACCCCAGGCTTTACCAATGGAATACCTGTAAGAGAAGATGGTAACCAAGGATCCTGCCAAATCTTTGTAGATAGGCCATCACCAATTACCTTCCTGAAACAATACTAGTATTTGATTTTTCACATTCATCCATGTTCCCCAGAGCCAGGATGAGCTTTGATTTTTCTGAGCATTGGAGATATTATCAGCTGGGAAGTATTTCCCTTTGAGCAGCTTGCTTACCAGCAAATTTGGTATTGTAGCAATTCCCTAAATTTGTTTAAGTATGAGAACTTTAGTGAAGAGTGTGAGATCATGGAATCCAAGCCCACCACTGTCCTTTGGCAGAGTGATAAACTACCAAGCTTTCCAATGAATAACTGCAGACTGATCCTCACCAGTGCACCATAAAAAATCTGCAAACAATCCAACAATCTTATGGCAAAGAGATAAAAGGAGGGTAAAACAAGACATTGTAAAGAAATGAAGAGCATTGAGTACTGATTTCATGAGCACTTCCTTGCCTGCAAAGGACAAGAATATATTCTTCCAACAAGAAATTTTATTTATAACTACCTCAGCCACATAATCAAACGTTTGCCTTTTAAAACGGCCTAAACCAAGTGGCAACCCAAGATACTAGGAAGTGTGCATCTGAATCCAGATGTACAAATAGAAGACTGCTGGGAAGTAAACACATTCTTGCTGAAAAAGATAGAGGATTTCCACATATTCACATTTTGACCAGAGAATTTGTTGTAAAGATAAAGCACTTTGAGGACCTTCTAAACAGAATGCACATCAGCTCCACAAAATACAAGAGAATCATTAGCAAAGAGAAGATGTGATAAATGGACTCCCTCTCTAGAAATTCTGGCCGCAGACAAGTTTCCCCCCTCAATCTCTTTTTTTTTCTAACAATCTAGAGAACAACTCAGATACCAGGATAAAAAAGATAAGGAGAGATTATGACTCTTTGTCTTATACCTCTGGAGGCTTTAAAGTACCCATAAACTTCATCATTTATGTTCACAGAAAAAGCAGTAGAGGACACACACTCTATAACCCAGTCAACAAAAACAGCATGAAACCCAAACTTCAACAAAACCATCCTAATATAATGCCATTCAAGCCTATCATATGCCTTCATCATATCAAGCTTGATTGCCATGAAACCTTTCCTTATATTCCATGTCTATTCAAAAAGTGAATCATTTCATGAGCCATTATCACATTGTCCAGCAACTGCCTACCAGGAATGTAGGAAGCTTGATTCTCACTAACACATCAATGCAGCACAAGTTTAATTCTTACAGCTAAAATTTTTTAAATGACTTTATAGGCAACATTAAACATGCTTATAGGTCTGAAATCACTAAGAGAAGAAGTGCAAAACCTTTAATTATGTATGAGCTCTACTTTAATTCCATAAAATGCAAGTTTATTTATTCCGAGTTTATGCATTTATTTGATGCATTAAATTATAATTGTTTGCATTAAATTAATTTATAAATCCTAGTCTAAGCCATGAATGATCCTTTCGATTTTTTATTTTCGAAAATCGAATTTATTCTAGCCAAGTATCGGTTTCATTTTTAATTTAAAACCGAATGTTAAAAAAATTGAGAAAAAAATATTAAGTAGGGCTGAAGTTCGGTCGAGCTGAGACCTCGTCCCGAACAAGCAAGCTCGGCCCAAGGTGCCAAGCCCAAGCCCAAGTAGCCGAGCCCAACTCAATGTCCGGCCCAATGGTGAGCCTTTAATTTCGAGCCCACCATTTTTACAAGCCCAAAAAGCCGGCCACAGTTTTCGGGCCCATTTTCAAGTCCAACCGAGCACAATTTAAAGACCGACATTTTTTTCCGAGGCCCAAATTTTAGTGCAAGAAGCCCAATACAATTTCAATTCAATGGCCCAAATGTAGTACTTTAGCGTTTTGACCAATTAGTCTTCAAATTCAAATGCAAGACCAAGCATAAATTCTCACCTAGCATGTGTGTACTTAAGGGACAAAGTTAGAATAGTCCAAATTTCCTCCAACCACAATGTCCCCTAACCCTAATGACATGATTGCTATAATGGAATGAAATTTGATAGGAATGGAATCTATGGAAGAATGGAATAAATATAGGAAAGGAATTAAACAAATTTTTCCATTGATGTGTTTGGTATGCAGAAGGAATAAGACCTGAATGGAATGACATTATCATTATTTATTATCATTTCACTATTTTATAGAAAATAATGATATATATATATTATTTATATTTTTTAGGGTAATAATAAAATTATTTTATTTCTTAAAAAATATACTATATTTTAATAAATAATTTTTTGTATTGTCACACTCATATATATTATATAATAAATTATTGAATTATGTATTCTTATACATATTTACTAATACAAACATATCGTTACATAAATCCCTATAAGTATATGTTGTCGAATATAATTTTTTATATTATAATTAAATTTATGAATAAATATATAATAAATATGATGTATAAAAATAAAATAATATATTTTTAAAATATATATAAATACTTTTTTTAGTTTTATTTTTATATAAGTATTTAATATATCTAATTAAACAATAAATAAAAGTAAGTTTTCAAATTTTTTATTTGAATTTAATTTTTTTAAAATAATTTTATTTAGTATTATTTCATCATGATTTATAATATATATAATATATTTATTATTATTATTATTATTATTATTTAATTTTATTTTTTGAAAAATTGATTCCTACAAACATGGAAATGAGAAAATCTTCCCTTAACTATGGAATGGCTAATCCAATGGAGATGAGTTTTGTCAATCCCATTGGAATGGTCATTCCTTTCTAAGAAAATATACCAATCAGGAATAATGAATGAGTAAGGGAAAAAAATTGCCAGAGCTTCAATTAATGTGAGAAGGCAAAGAAGAACCCTACCCCCAATTCCCGTCGCTCAAAAATTTCCGCCGCTTGCACTTAATTTCTGGTTGAATCGCCTTCCCCGGCGATGGCAATTCTCTTGCTAGCGGTCGTCTTCGACCGCTCGGCCCGACCCTAACGTCTTGTGTCTCCATGGACTCTGCAGGTGCCGCGAGATGTGGCTTCCCTTCGGTCGCTGGTCCATCTTCGGTCGCCGGCGTGGCTGCGTTGGGCGATGTCGCACCCTCGATCTGCGTCTGGTGTCTTCTTCT